CTGCGCGCATGGTCGTGGCTGGGCAGGACAGATTGAGCGACATACTTTTTGCGACAAAGGGCGTTGATGCTCAGACAGATTGCGTGGCTGAGCCGATGGTGAAATCTTACGGCGAGTGTGATGGTCTTGTGCAGTAGTGTTCGTCTTGCTTCTTAGTCGCATGAGGTCTTGGAGATCTCATGTCTGACGACAGCCAATATATAGGGATAGGACCCATGCGTCAGGAGTGCTTCTCCGGAGACCGTCTGTCTTGCCACGCTGGTATCGTTGGAGAACCTACAGCCTCACCGATCGGTGAAGCGAATAGCTCGAGTAACAGAATTGCAACAAGAAGCAAGATTTGACTTGCAGGTAACATCGAAACAACACCTTTCGCGGGATGTGACCGACTTGGTTTGCGGGGTCAAGGCTCGGGCACCGCGGTTGGCGTCTAAAACCCATGCTTGACCGGGCTCCTTCCGCACTTTGTGGCGATGGAGTCAGGAAACGGACTGTCCTGAGAGCCTTATCGCTCGTAAGACGACATGGCTCCTGCATGGATGATATCGGGAATGATGTTTGGCCCACGTATGAAAGGTCAAAATCGAATCTTCATTTGTGGCGGCCACGATGAGGTAGCTTTTTGTTGTTTTCGTAAGGGACTTGGTTCTAGGCAAGCACCTTAGAGCATTAGTCGACCTCAAGCAGGCCACACTTGCTCTGTGGCTGGCACGAGAGGGATCATTCGGTGCGTACGTAGCGTATTTGGATTACGCTACGAGAACTTTGTCTAGCTTTCCGAACGGAAGCCGTAATGCAAATCAATAACCAGGTCGGCGGAGGGAACCTCACCCTTGATCGCGCTTGACCTCGCCTCTTCAAACCCCGCTCCTCGCAAGCCATGATCAAAGAAACACAGCGCCTATAGCAGTGCTTCTTCCCTCGGGAGAGGTCATGTTGTCTACTGCATGTATGTACCATCAATGGACACTACGTGGTGTTGATAGGCGCCGAAAGTCACCCTGCGTTCCGCATCTGTAAACCTCCTGCGCCATACAAAGCCGTCTCCAACCCCAGTTCTGCCTTCGCTCGGTCGGTGGCGGGGTACACTGACCCCAGCAGCAGCTTTTGGCCGAGGAGCGGGCCCGGGCCCCGAAGCAGTATCTGGCCCAGGTCTAGGTGGAGATGGTCGATGTCCGTGCCGGCCCGCCCCAGTTCATCCAATTCTTCCCACTGCCAATGGCCCTTGCCATGGATGGATCCGAGAGAGATTGGCTGGATCGTGTCGGGGTGTTGACGCAGCGGTTTTTCGGACCCCTCGACGCGCTTCGCCAGCCGCAGTCAACGTCGTCCGCTCGCTCATGATCTTTTCGTGCACCCTCACGAGTTCTTCCAGGTTCCAGCTCTTGGCAAAACGCGAAAGGCCGGCAATGATCTCTGGATCGACTAGACCTTTAACATCTACGTCGCCCAGATCCCCGTTCCGTCGGGTCTGGTCGATGGTGGTGCCGATCTGGTACTCGACAGTGGTGATCTCTTCAAAGCCTGGATGGTTAGCCATTGTCCCACTAACGAATCACTTCTGATCTGGATCAGACTGCCAGTATGCCTAAGTATAGCTGCTTCCCATTCACCCATCTGGGTCATCATTGACTTCAGACAAGTGACCAAAAAACTTGACAAAACATGTACCTATTTATGAACGCTGCTTGTTGGACATGGCCTGCAAGTCTGACCTGGGCGAGCATTCGCGGCCTGTCGAGCAAGCTGGCATAGGTGAGATGGACCTGTTAAACTCAAAGACAAAGAGGGACGACATAATCGAAGCAGGACTCGGTACCATACGCCACGAAACAAACCCATATTCCAAGGGGAGATACGTTCATCTACATTTCCATTCTGGTCCATGAAAATCGGGGGTTTGGGGCTGTGATTGAATTGAATTGATTTGATCGCTGGAATTAACCTGGCGGTGCAAAAGTGCACAGCGACGACGGGCTGACAGGTTGCATTGTAGACATCCTCCTCTATTTGACTATTTACCAGATTCCGTGTTCTTCACATTTCGAAGCTGGTCTAGTGCTGACTGCAGAAGACGTCGAACTCGTGGGTCCATGTCCGTGCGATCTAATGCCGACAGCGTATTGTCACGGAGTTGCTTCTGCTGCCGTTCCTTGGCATCTCTACGTAGAACGAAGTCCCACATGCATACCCCGTTTGACCCGGCGAGTTCTGGGCATAGCGGTAGGCTGTATTTTGATCTCCATGATAGGTTGTGATCCTCGATGACCATTGATTGAACACGGAGGCGTCCTTGCACGTAAGAGACTGCTGTCGTTGTCACGGTCGTCGCAGTGTGAGAAAACAGAATGTCGAACGCGGTAACTCTAGTTGCACTTTGGTCGATCAATGGGTCCCAAACGGCTAACGTGAGGTCTTTGACAACTACTTCTCTCCTTTTCGGGTTGTAACGAGCACTCGACGATGCCAGGTAGCGGGTGATCGGACAACCCACCTGGCGTTCTCGTGAGTGCAGTTGCCGGAATGCTATATATCTCGGGGGTTTCCCACGCAGGAGACTCGTGAAGTCTTTGCCGACAAGAACGAAATCGACATGTTTCACTGCGCTGCTAAAAAGGTCTTCGAAAATAAAACGACGGATATCTTCCATTTCTTTGGGGGTCAGACATCGTAACGCCATCTCAGCCTCACCATGGTTATCGACCAAAGAACGTGGGTGGGCGGGGCCGAACTATGTATGAGTAGGTGCGAAACGTAAAGACCTACCCTGATGCTGATACATGCTGTGGAGCAGGATTCGCGTCCCATACGATGGCGGAAGGGGCATGGAAGAAAGGAGAGGGCCAAAACCCGCCCTTCAGACTGATCTGAAAAAGCCGTTAAGTAAGCGCTGTTGCGGATGATAAAAGCAGCTGCGGTGCGCTCAGATCGAAGAAGCAGGAAATTCTTCAAGGATATTGATCATAGGAGCTCGTGCCTTCTTTTCGTGTTATCCATGGCTGGCCGTGCTCTTGACTCCCACGAACGCTTCCAGATATGGGCGACAAAGTGGCATGTTGGAAATGGTGACCTTTTGCAGACCCAGAATATCTCAATGACGCGCTTACACAGAGCAGATGACGAGTGGTGCCTGCCCCACGAAGATGACTCGGAAATCATCAAAGAGCATGACAGCGCTAGCCTCACTGCTTTGAGAATACTTGAAGTAAGTAAGATCGTTAGCGACGGGCGAGTTGGGCTGATGCTGATATGGAAACCAGCGAGAGGCCTTGCCTCTGTTCCATTACATGGAGATCCAAGAGTGCGTGAAGAATGGATGGGCGTCGCGGTTGCGGATCTGTACAAAGTTCATCCAGTTCGGCACTTACCTCCGCATCCCCCTCGAGACGGTCCACCTAGCGGTGAGCTGCCTTGACCGATTTCTCTCGGTTAGGGTTATTTCAGAATACCATCTTGACGTAATTGGAGCAGTCATTTTCGCCATCGCGGTCGAGTTCGAAAGATCGAGCGTACCTTCTGTGTTTGAACTCGATAACAGCCTCGTTGAGCGGTACCAACCAGGAGACATCCCATTCATCAAGTCAGTCGTAGTTGACGTTTTGGATAACTCAC